GATGGAAATGTTATTCAAAAGTAAACAAAAAATTACAAATATAGCAAGAATTGCAGCGAATAAAGTGGAAAAAGAAGTGATGATGAAGGAGAAAAAAGTACACATACATCCAGTGAATGAAATCATAAAAATACTTGTTATGAATATGAACCCCTCTATCTCACGGTGTTTTATGCTCATGAAAATATTTATGAAGTTTTTACAATCCTCAGAGGCAGTGCTGTTGAAATGTAATTGTTGCGCTCTTCCGTTTCGATATTTTTTTTCTCTCTATCCTGCTTTCTACCATGCTCTTCAACGCAGTGGCCTTTGAAATGCGCGAGAAGAAGTGCATTACAACTGTAGTTTCTGTCTGTTGGGCTCGACTTTGATTGATTTGAATGTCGGTGTTATCATGTTTGATTTAGCCTTAAATTGCAAATTGCACAAGTCCATCGCAACTGCAGGAAAAGCACTTTTCAAATATCACACCATACAGACTGTCTGCCCGTCTGCCTGCCTGCCTGCTTATGTTGCACAGCAAAATTGTTACTGTGAACGCAATTCCTCGGCATTTTCCTCAATCTCAACCGAACTACCATAATTACATCCATTACGATCATCAGCAAATATATTCATCGCATACAAATAAACCGGAACGAAAATGGAAAAATCGTTGACTATAAATGAAACTTCGAACGCAAATATTTTCCAATCGTTTTTACTGCATATGCGTTAAATTTATCCATGGCTACGATTAAACGAAATATACCATTGAAACAGATGCTTCGCTCTTTCTATCGTTTTTCACGTTTTTTGTTGTTGTTCTTGTTGTTTTTGTTCGTCTTCTTCTTGTTTTTTGCCCCATTTTCTCTCTATCTCTTGCAATTTTTCTTTGCGCTTCCTCCAGAAAATACTAATTTATTGCAAATTTCGTATTGAGCTTCAATGAATGCTCGACGAATTACTTTTTGTGCGACCAGCATTGAGACGACAAGAAACTAGAGAGATACTGCTTATAATTCTATCCGATTGAAGGATTCGACAACAGAAACAAAAGAACTTAATGATGCTTTTGTTAAAGCAGCTTCTCCTTTTGGTCGTTGTTTTTGCTGCTGCTGCTGTTGCTGGTTGCTAGTTGTCGAAATGGCAGCACACAAGTACGAATGAACATTTGTTGTACACACAACAATCATCGACAATGAACGCTTTTGCTTTAAATCGACGATGCGACCAGTCGACGGGGCAACGAGAGATAGAGAGAGCCACTCAAAGGACAGCGGACATAAAGTCATTTTTATATATTAGTAAAATAAAGTGTGTTTGATGAACGCCAACTCTAAAAACATTTCATACTGATGCTGTCTGCAGATTTGTTGCTTTTATATTAAAGCCCGTGCGGCGCGACGTTTTTGTTGTAGTTGTTGCAAATTGAGTTCGTCTGGCTGCAGCGTAAATCTTTTGTCGTCCTTTGTCTTGATTTGAATACCGGCCATCGACGGTGTGTGTTGAGTCGCACAAAGAAATATATTTGAGCTTTCCGGTGGTATTGTTTTGGAAAAAAGCGATGCTTGTTTATCGTGCTTTTTCTCTTCTCTTTTTCTACGTTTCGTTGTGTCTGTCCATTCTCTTTTTGTTTTTTGTTTTTTTTTTCATTCAAGAGACAAAAATTCATTGCTGTTATTGTTTTGTATTGTGAATCTGTGTCTTATTATCAAGCTGAAGATTATATACGTTGCACAATATGCATAGTCAATTTGTTGTAATTTTGTTTGACTCTTCGGCAAAGGCGAATAGTCGGTGTGTTTGTGTGGTGCTTTCTTTGCGTTGCACGTTCGCCGGGGATTTAAATGCGTTTTCAATCTCGATTCGCAATTGTTTGTCAAGAATGTGTAGTGTGATCGTTTTGTTGAACCGCTATAATACCACCACAGAAATTGGCCTGTCTTTTTTCATGATGTTCTTGTACGCGATGAATCTTAGCCCAAACCTCTTCAAAATGTTTGTACGGCAACGGCGACGATGGAGGCACATTAAAACCAGGCCACTTTTGCTTGATACTTCAAATCGAGAGCCTACTCAATACATCTATTTGTGTATCTCTCTCTCTCTGTGTGTGTGTGTGCAGTGTAGAAGGAAGCTCAATTTATTGTGAGTGGAATAAATGCACATCAAAATGATAAATGAGAAAAATACGTGATAAGTCGATGGCATTCGCTTTTGCGTGCGTAAATCGAACATTTGTTGGCGTAACGGATAGAAGAAGGAAAAAACAACAAAAACAAATACATTAATGGTGAACAAGCATCATCACATGGACCGAAGGAGAGGTAGGATACGACTGGAGTGTTGAAACAAAAATGATTTTATATTTATTGTTCCATCTCTTTAATTGTGTGTGGATTTTGACAAGTGGCATATTGCAAGCCCATTCCCGTGGTGGAGTGAAGCACGTGCGACACTGTATACCATGCTCGGTCTTCCAGTCATGTAAATCCATATAAGAAATATGTGTGTGTTTGTTAGGTGTAAGCTTAACGTTGCCTCATTTCCTTATTTCATTTTGATTTTGTTTTTCCATCAACAATTGAAAGAAATGAGCATACTCAGGCAAAATCATCGAGTGGATAAATTGTTGGCTCTTTGGTTTGGTCGGTCGGTCGGTTGGTCGACCAACACACACCACAGCTCTCCTATTCAATTGCAGTTGATTTCGATTAGGAGGGGACCCATTGATTAATTTCATTTTACAATGCTTCAAGTGGATGGATATCGGCTTTTGTTTCTATAGAGGAAGCTTTTGTGAAGAGAATGAAAAAAAAAACTGCAGTATACATAAATAAAAAGTGTAAAATGGATAAAAAGAAAAGAAAAAATAATCAAAAAATGAGTGAGAAAAGAGCATAGGAAAAAAGGACGAAACCGAAGCGGTGATAAAACCAACGACGACGACAACGACGATGACAATGACAATAACGACGGTCATGGAATAAATTTAGGTAAAAATACGCTTAGTCGTGGTCTAATACATACGTGGTGGCACCATGAAATTTCACAATGCAGCAGTCATCGGTTCTTGGGCAGGGGAATGTGTTTGTTTTCGATCGAAAATATTTTTGGGCATTGCAATGCCTTCAAAAACGTTTTCTTTTCATCCTGACACAACACAAAATGGAAGACACATACACACACAAACAATGAATAAGATCATCGCACCACATACACGGTGAATGGGTGGTGGTGAAGATGCCGTGAATCATTCAATATCTTTATGGTATTTCAACATCTTGAGCTTGACATATTGTCAGCGAACAGCGAATTAATAAAATTCCATACACAAAAATTTCTATTGAATTCAATATTATCGGTGGAATCGAAAAAGATGGTGAAGCGAAGAGATGTGGGATCCAGAGATGTCGGGAATACACAAAGAGGGAGCAAGAGCAAAAGAGAAAGACACACATACGGAGAGAGTGTGTGCGAAGCGACGACAACGACGATGACGACCTATCGCATATTCGTTGTTGCACATTGAGACTGGGAACGGGGAATCCGGAAGACGAATTGTTCGCTTGTATATGTATACATATACGTGGTAATAAAATATATGTATATTACGGTGTGGTTTGTTCGGTTAGTACAGAATCATTTGCCTTCTTCGTTTTTTTTTCTCACTCACACTCTTTCTGACTCTCTCTCTCTCTCTCTCTCTCTCTCTCTATCTCTCTCTCTCTCTCGATCTCTGCTTTCCATTCCATCCTTTTGTTCAAATGTGAAATGTGAAAAGCCATTCGAAAGCTTGATCGAGCTAAATGCAAGTGTGCATATGAGCCAGTAATGTGGTGGGTGATTTTTTTCATTCTTTTTCTCTGTATTCCGTGCAGATTCCCATATATGCGCTTTAGTCGTGTGCAGAGACATCCACTTGACAAAAGATGTTTGGTAATGTGCTGCTGCTACTGCTGCACTGTTACTTGTGTGTGACCGTAGCCGAGAAGATGGAAATGGCAATAGGAACAGGTAGAGCAAAGATACTGAACGGAAATTAAACACATTGCAGGTTAAGGTAATATTTCAAACGCTGTTTTTTTCCCTTGCTGTTCGTTTTTGTTCATTCAGTGTTTTATACTTTCTTGTTCATCTATGGTGCTATTGTTATTGAGGTTTCGTTTTCAGCGTTTTTATTTTTCGGTGCTACACACATACACACATACCGTGTCGTCCTCCAGTGTCATCGTCGTTTTCGATGTCGCCACTGAACGCACATATCACCTTATGGTGCTAAGGCATTTATTCTTGATTCTCATTCTATTCAGAGCATGATAATAGTAATCATTGACGTAGAAGCGCACAAAAAAGGACTCCGACCGAATAAGAAGAGCGAGAGAAAGAAAAAAAAAAGCGCGCGAAATACGGACCGAGTGAAAGAGAAAGAGTGAGTACGGAAAAAAGCATTCCTTGAAGCGATATTTATTTATTTTGTGACGGGCAAATATTCTCATTTTATTTGTCGGCTGCCTTAAACCATTCATCTCTCTCTCTCTTTCTTCGAGCCGTCGTGCGGTTGCTTCTATGCATTTCTGTGTTCTAGGTGGTTTAATAAAAGTTGATGATTTACTACAAACTGACACAACAATAGCGCCAATCGGGCACTCTCGTGTTATGAGTAAACATACAAGATCAATAAAATAAATAACACACACAGAGAAAAACGAGCACAAGAAAAATGCGAAAAATTCAACACGAACGCCGCATTATCCGCCAAATTCCAACAAATCAAACGGTTACACTCTCGTTCTTCTTCTTCTTCTTCCTCCCGTTCGTCCGTTGCCTCGTTCACTTTTTGTTCACACACACATACACATACACATAATGTTTACTGGCGCGAACTAAACGTAATTATTGTGTATCAAATTTTGTATGTATACATAATCAAATCCACGAATATACAAACATGAACAGTTACAGAGAGAGAGAAAAAAAAACCAGATAGAATATACAGCAGAAAATTCATTACTTACATATATTGAATAAATGAAGGATCATCAAACAAATTGACGGCCAACCGATCAACTTCCAACTCATGCAATTCAACGCCATTGTTTGCATTTCGAATTTGCGATTGATGTGTAGCTTGATGTATGGCCAGCGGTTTTGTTGTGGTTGTCGACGATGCTGCTACTGCTGGTGCTGTTGTTTTATTATAAGTATGCTCGGTTTTTGCTGTTTGATGATGCTCATGGAACAAAGTTCATTTGAATTTTTTTTATTCGTTCTGCCTCTCGACTTATTTGACGTATCAGCGAATCGGTCGATAATTTTCGTTGTGGTTTTTCTTAGACAGTTTATTTTCTTTCTCTTGGGTTTATCAACCAGCTATAATATGGTCTTGTCTGCGTTTGGTGTATTTAATTCACGTCGCCGTTTTTACCTCTCCTTTATTTCTACTCAGCAATTAATTGACTATTAAGGTGGAAATGATTGGTTGAATTCACATGGTTTTGTTTCGGTGTGACGTTACAGTTTATTGTCCATTATTTGGGTGGCAACGAAAATGCGATAACCTAAACTGCACTTGATTCGATTCGAGCTGATTTGAATTTGATGCTTGGCAAAATGATTGAAAGACCTGAAAGAAAAGAAGAAGAAGTAAAAATATATTCATTCGATGTGAATTCAATGAGAACCTTTTCAGATAAATTAAAATATAAAACAAGCTAAAAATGTTGGTCGAGATAGAGAGAACGATGTCAAGAGACGTGAACAAAGAGAACTGGTAACCAAAAATGATGGTTTCAATGGTGGCCTAAGTTGAAAATTTATGCAAATCGTCGAATCTGCAAATCAATCGATTGCGTTTGATAGAATGAAAGAAAAGGGAAAAAAAAACATTCGAAGCTATCAGAAAGTCACAAGGGTGTAACGAATGTTCCCAGTCTGAATTATCGATATATTGGTGGTTACACGAGGACAAGTGAACCGATGGGAATTGAGAAGTTTTCCAAACCACATGAAAACGCAATTTACTCTCACAACTATCAAGAGTTAAGAACTTTAAGTACAAAGGATCATCACGAGCCATACTAGGAGAAAAGGAGATGAAGAATAGGCGCTAAGTTGTTTCAACCACTTGAATAGTTGATAAATTCGTGACACGACATTCAAACCGATTTTGTGTAATTTGATTGAAACGTAGTCGTGACCAATCGATTTCCGATTTTAATGATGTTTGATTGACGGTATAATGAGTCCAAATGCATGAAATTGTTATGATTTATATAATCCCACTACAGGCCCTTGTTATCTCGTGATGTTACCATCTTCCTGCTACGTCATTAAAATGAATATACAATAAATGCTTACATCCGATGCTTACACATTTGAATAAGCTTTTATAATTCCAATTTAAATCGGGAAAATATGCCGTTATTATTGTATTCGCATTGCCAAATTGAATTTCAGTACTTTGATGGCAGTTGCAGTTGCAATTTTCAATCATTTCCATTTTGATAGATTTTGCAACAACATTTTTATGCGAAATAAACACACGCATTCTTTATTTTTAATATTGAAAATCATTTTTCATAATAACGGCAACAACAAAAAAATCATGAAGTATATTTATTTCACATGGCATTTAATATGTTGCAAAAAAAAAGTTTGAAAAAATAAACAAAAATGGTCGCGCTTGAAGTGAAAAAAATACACTGAAAATTCCATCAATTAAATGAAATAAACAAACATCCGAGTTTTGCTTGCGGCGCACATACCTTTGTTCTCGTTTGGTTATGGGCAATTTGGCAAGAAATTAAACAAAAAAATAGTGTACCTCATTTGATTGCAGCGAGTCCGTTGTCAAATTTTATCAATTGTTAATATGAAAATTATTTTTTCAAAGCAAACAATTCAGTTTGGCTGTAGCGATGAAATAATAATAATTATTTGAATCATACACAGTAAACACGCAAACATACGTTGACCGTAGGCTCAGCACCTCAGCATTTCGTATCTGCGGATATATCCGAGCATATCAACGACGCAAGTCACTGTATAAGTGGCGTGCGATGATATGCACAGCTACATCGACTACACACAAACACTGCGCTCTCTGTTTTTGTGTAAAACTCTCTGTTTGTATGTAGTTGATGTAGCTATGCACATCATCGCACGCCACTTATACAGTGACTTGTGTCGTTGATATGCTCGAATATATCCGCAGATACGAAATGCTGAGATGCTGAGCCATCGGTAAACGTATGTTTGTAAACACGATGGTTCTAACTTTTAGAACCGCAATATGACATTTGTCACTAAAATCCATTTAAGTACCATTTGTACTAGAAAAAGTTCAAAATGTACTAAATCACAAACCAAAGCTTCATGTATTTATTATAGAACTTTTTAACTTTTTCTAGAGCAAATGGTACTAAAACAAAGTTAAGTGTCAAATCTCAACATTGCTAGAATCATTGTTTTTACTGTGTATTGACAACAGACATTTTGGCATAACATGAATCATAAAGTATATATAGTGGATGCCCAAGAATTAGAATTAGTTTGCTTTTCAACGCTCACTTCTGATTTTCGAACAACTGTGACGCAAAAGCCCGTTTTGTTGGGACACATTTTGTTTATTTTAAAACAAACACGCTCTCATTTTCCGAATGGTTCTAATTTGTGGACGTTCTGATTGGCGCGTATCCACTGTAAACGTAATAACATCAGCAAAAATATATTCCTTCCATCGGTCATGCTTATTATTTTCCATATTTTCATTCATTTATTAATAATGCGAATTGCGAATTGGATTTGCCGGTGCCACCGACACGTGTGTGTCTTGCTAATTGTTAGTTTCGAGAATGAATGTTCTATTCTTTTGCCGCATTTCTTTCCACTTGCCGAATATTAGGATGAAACAATCAAATGAATTACGAAACGTATGCGTTGCATATAAGTAGTGTTGGTTATATTATTTTGACGATTTTCTCCATCATTGTTGGATGATTAATCCATATTATATGTGAATGATGAAGACTGGAATAGTTTGAATTGATACGAACAATAAATTGCCAACTAACGCCGTTCGAATTCGAATATACCGAGTAATTCTATTGCATTCCCATCCGAAACCATTTAAGTGCCTAATTTGGCAATAAACGAAAGCAAACGTACATGTAACGGCTAATTATTTTTCATATTTGGCTTCGGCCAAATTGATGGCAACCGTAAACATTATGCACAAGCGATTTTCAAATATGTTTAAAATTTTGCCATTGAGCATATTTATTGTCGATGTGTCCGTTTGTTATTTCATTTCAATTATTTCGACATTACTATTTAATTCTCGTTCCACTTCAGTGCTTTCAATGAGGTCCGCTAAATTTTTCTCTATTTCAATTTCTAGATATGCTAAAGCATCGAGACTAACTTATGGATTTTGGTAATATTTTCAAGCGTTGTTCATAGAAAGTATTCATTGATAAAATTACCATGAAATGACTTTGTGAAAAATCACTTAAAATGCAAAGAAATTCATTTGGAAGTCGGGAAAAAAATAGATGGGTAAGGGTTTGCATCATAGCCACTTTATTGGATTCAAGTGTTTGTGCTCGAATGTTTAGCTGCCGTGTTTGATATTTGAAATTTCCATATTTTTGTATTGCATTTTGGGTTGCTGGTGACAAAAGCCTGTGTTTGCGTGTAGTTGGTTGAGCTTTTAAATTTTTGATTTGTCAGCAGATGTTCAATAAGCGAATCAATTGTTTGCTTAACGGATATGTTAACCAGTTCGCAATGCGTTACACTTTGTGCACAACGAAACGAATCATACTATATTGGCTGAATCGCTCTCTTGTTCGCTCTCTCTCTCTCTCCTCTCCTATGCCGTTGAATTTATTTATATGCAAATTTTTGTGTCGATCACATTGATAGCAGACGAAATGACGAAACATAGACAAGTCGGAATACAATCGGCCACTATCACTGTGGCTATTGATTGTGAAATTAAATATTTATTTATTCGATTCGCTGCGGGGAAAAAAATCAGATGAACCCATTTTGTTAATTTAACTCTGAAGGGTGTATCAAAACAAATGCAGAAAGAAAAAACTGATAAGAGGAATGCAAATTTTATTATATTTAACAGATGCTTTCACCACCAAAAGTATCAGCGAATAATTGATATATTTTTTTGCCGATTGCGAGAAAACAATTTCATTTCCGATTTGTAAGGAAGTCGATGTGACGATCGCAATATACGTATAAAGCGTTAGCTGCAATTGCAATGTCCTAAATTGTGCATGAATATTCAATCGTCTTTGGTATAAAATTTAACGAGTAATGAAAAAAACACATATGCACACCGAAAACAACCATTGCGCTAATTTATTTCGGCTCCACTTGCGTGATATGCATGAACTTCACACTTATTTAGCATTCTAATGATTCGTAAAATTCAATAAATTTCATTATTAGCCGTAAATGCGGTGCTTCATGGAAACATATTACATGGCGCACTAATCTATTCAATGTGTTTGTAATGTGCGAACAGGAGCTGCATGAACCAACTGAATTCAATGGTCTGCACAGCACACACACACACACACACACATGTACACTCATAAAGCATCCAACCAAGCGACGGATATGGGATTTTGCTTTTTTCGGGAATATTATTTTTAAATTTCAATTTACATATAGATAGAGCAATTTATAATTTACGCTACATAAAATTAACTAGTTTTATTACATGTGAGAGGAGTTGTGTTGCCACACACATGCCCACATTGTCAAACGCACCGATTCGCACACACATCGAAACATCAAACCCGGTGAGTGAGCGAAACGAATTAAAAAAAAAATTGGAAAAAAATCCAAACGAATCAGCGATGCGTTAGAGAATGAAGTTGAGTCTCATCATATCACCGAACGCTCCATTTCATGGTGTTGTGTTTACAATGTAGATAATAATTTTTTCGTCAGTTCCATCGACATGTATGACACACGTATAAACATTTGGATGCTACCTTTCAATGTGTACCACACAGAAGCGAAAATAAGCGAAGTATACACAGGGACACACACACACACATAACATTCATATGTTTTTCCTCGGAACAATCATATTAATAAAAATGTCAACCTCGAAAATAGCACAACAACTTCATTTTGGCAACACGGCAGCTGTGGCATCAACATCGACACAATCATGGCTCTTATCCTCATGTCACCCTCTCTCTCGTCCCGTCTTTTTCTACACATTCGCCCTATCCACACACCGCGTACAACACACCACCCAAGTCACTAGTCAACGTTCCCGTATCATTCGTTTATTTAGCTCTCAATCTCTCTCTTTCTATTTCACTTGTTCGCATTCTATTTTCTACGTTTTGGTTTGAAAAATTTTCACCATCGAAACAGTCATCCAACCGGTTCTCTGCACACATTTCAATTCCGTAAATTGCACAACATTACAACGCACCGGTACATGTATGATTTTAGCCCCGTGCGCGCGTATGCATATGTACATGTATGGAATATGCATGCTAAAGATTTGACAAACAAAACAACGACCGCCAACAAGCAGAAATGCAAGTAAAAAGCGTCTCTCAAATGAAAACTTAT